AAACTTGAGGGCAAGTTTTGAAACATTTCAAACATTAGGGTTTTAACTATTTAAATTTCAAAACTTTTGGGGTTCAAATTTAAACTATAAAACCTAAAGGGATAAATTGAAACTATTTCACAAGATAATTCAAATCTAAATTACAAATAATCAAACTTTATCTAATAAAACAAGTGATTATCTAAATTTTGACAATTATCTTCTATTTAGGTAAGGATAATCACATAATAATGAAAAATTCGGATTTTATCACAAAAACGAGTTTATGGTAATTATCCAAAACCAAAACAGGAAGAAAATCGCGAAAACGAGCTGTCAGACACTTTGACTCGTCGAGTCTGGGCTTGGACTCGTCGAGTTCATCTGACTCGGCGAGTTCACCAAGTGACTCGGCGAGTCAAAACTTCAAAACTCAAAAAATCGATTTTCAGTGCTTATTACGATTAAATATGCATCAATACAATTGAAACCAATCAAGGCTCTGATACCACTGATGGGTTTTGGTCATAAGACATCCTATGTGCTCATACAAACCCTAATGCTTGGATCTAGGTTTCTCTATTGTACATGCTTTGAATCCAAGACTATAAACCCTAATTCTAGCATACATATAATCATATTAACATGAGAATAAGTTTATAGTGTTACCTTGATTGTTATGTAGCAATAACAATCCCAAATCTCCTTGTATTGACTTTGGAAGGCTTAGAGTCACAAGTGTCACTCCTCTAATGGCTCACAAACACCATAAGCAAGTGGAGAAGGTATATAGAGAGAGGTGAGAGGTTAGAATTCGTATCTAGGACCTCTTGGGAAGGGATACACGAATTCATGGCCCTAGGGGTGTTTATATAGGTGTAGAGATAGGGTTTCAGTCATTATCCTTATCTAGTTGATTATCCATTAAGCAACCAATAAGATAATCCTTGAATCCTTATCATACTCGAATTCTAAGGGATTTACACCTCAAATTCGTTCACCATATATATAAGATAATCCTTTACCTTATTTTGTAACTATCACATAATTACAAATCAGCCCCTCTAGTTTAATTAATTACATTTGATCACAAAACTAATTCTTAATTAATTATTGACCAATATTAATTAAACAAATATGATTTCTCCTTTAATATATTATTCTTATAAAATATTAATAAATCATATTATCCTTTCTCTCTTTATTCATTTCTCCAATCAAGTTGCTTTGGTGAAGGCAACCCAAAAGGACCATGCACCATCGGGTCAAGTACATACCAAAATAGTTATGGACTTAGACACTAATCCAACAGTTTTCACCCTTAAGATCTTGTGGCATTACTTGTATAGGGTTCGATGTACCATCCATACATACCACAAGAGTTTGAAGTATATTATGGATTAGCCGAACCTGAATATGAGGCAACACAGGTCGTTAGATATGGTGAAGGATTATGATTGTGAGATATTGTATCAGCCTGGGAAGGCCAACGTAGTGGCCTATGACTTGATTCACAAGGTGAGCGAGTAATACTCCTATCGGGGACCAATGATTGAGGATGATTATCACTTCACAACTTTTGGAATCAATCAAAGAGGTGTAGATCGAGGGGTTAAAGGAAGAGAATCGAAAGCAGGAGAAAACCAGGGGTCATATTTTTACCTTTGTCAATCATAGTCGGGGTTTATTAATTCAGTGCGGTAGAGTGTGGTTCCCTATTTATGGTGGGGTTCGACAAACATTGTTGGAGGAAGTGCTCAATTCTAAGTTTTCGATCATCTGGGCGTTATAAAGATGTACAAGGATTTGAGATTTAGCTACTGGTGGCCATGTATGAAGAGCCAGATTGGTTAGTATGTGAAGAATTTGCTGACTTACAAAAAGTTAAGGCCGAACATCAGAGACCCCATGGTAAGATGCAGTCGTTGAACATCCCCATCTAGAAATGGGAGGATATCATTATGGATTTCATCACAAAGTTGCCCAAGATGGCAGGTGGGATTGATTTGATCTGGGTTAATGTATAGGTTGTTTTAGAGAGCCCACTTCATCTTGATTCAAGAGATTTCATCCGCTGAGAAGTTAGCCAAGATCTATATTAATGAGGTTGTTACATGTCATGGGGGTGTCAGTTTCTATTGTTTTAGATCATGATGTCCATTTTACTTCAAGATTTTGGAGGAAGCTACATGAGGAGTTAGGTGCTTGATTGCTCTTCAGTACTCTTACCACCCACAGGCTGATGGTTAGAGTGAGCGAACCATTAGACTCTCCAGGATTTGCTTAAGGTGTGTGTTTTGGATTTTGGTGGGAGCTAGGATAACTGCCTTCTTGTAGTTGAGTTCTCCTACAACAACAACTATTGCGCCAACATTGGTATGCCTTCCTTTGAGTAGCTTTATAGGAGGAAATTTTGGACCCCATTTTGTTTGGATGAGGTTAGTCAACGGATGATGGGGAGCATGGAGGTAGTGCACAAGACTATAGATTTGATATAACAAGTGTGTAGTAGATTGCGAACCACACACAGTATAAAGAAGTGTTATGTTGGTCGGCATCATTCTGATCTTGAGTTCGAGGTTGATGATTTTGTGCTTCTGAAGGTGTCAACATGGAAAGGTGTCATCTAGTTCTGGAAGCGGGGCAAGTTGGTCCGATATACATCGTTCATTTCAGGGTTGTTACACGGGTGGGCAAGGTTGCTTATTGTTTGGATCTTCATGTGTAGCTTAGTCAGATCCACAACACTTTTCACATTTCCTAGACACAAAAGTGTTTAGCTCATGATTCCATAGTAGTACTCTTGGATGACATTCATGTTGATGAGTGCCTAAATCATATTGAGCGACTAATTGCCTAAGATGAATACCTTACGGAACAAGGTGGGGGGTGGGGGTTGGTGAAGGTGAAATGGCAACACTGAAAAGGTTCCGAATGGACTTACGAACCCGAGGAGTAGATGAAAGCGCATTACCCTGAGTTATTTGTAGTAGCAGATTCGAGGACGATATCTGATCCACGTAGGTAGAGTTGTAACAACTAGTTTCTGGTATAAATTTTATGCTTTAATCTTGCAATATTTTAGGTGGCTAGGACCTAGTGATGAAAGATCACCATGTTGTGGTAGAGCAATATGAATCACATATTTCATTAAGTCACCAAAATGTGCTCATGTATTGGCTATAATGTGGTGACAATAGGGTTCTAAATCCTAGATTTTGGGCCTTGAGCCTTATTTAAAGGATGTGATGGATAGGGTTTGTCCACCCTCAGCCTCCATCACTCCTCCATGTTCATAAGATCAAACCCTAGCCTCATTTCAAGCTTTTCATCTCATTTTAATGATTTGGTGACTTTTGAAGGAAGAATAAGAAGTTTTATTATGCAAGAATTCATTAAGCAACACAATTCCACCTTTATAATTATTTTCTAGACTATTGTAAGTCTTCAAAACTTAATATGTATAGTTCATTTCTAGTAAATCTAGGAAACTTAGCATATTATGGTCCATTGTGAAAGTTGGAATGAATGGGTGTGATAAAGTTAGCAACTTTATCACTCACCAAGGCCCTTAGAGTACTATATCTTTTGGATCTAGAAGTTGGAGTGATTTGAAATCTATACCTGAGATTTATAACACTTTCTTAGTTTTTGACCTAGTTTAAGTGAAGGACACGCTTAGGTCATGCATGTCCATAAGGTTTTGAGTTTTTTGAATCTTTAGGGTGCCAAGAAGCCTTTTGGAATGTTTGACCAAATAGCTTAATGGATTCAAGGCTTAACCCATTAAGTTGTCCATGTGTAGAAATCACGACGTGGCAAGATACTCGTCAGAACGTAATGAAGGTGGATTTCATGACTGTTTTACCGTGTTTTGCCACACTGTAGTGGCATGTTTGCCACGACGTGGTGGCAAAGCTATTCGCGACTGTTTTGAGTAAGCACGATGTGACCAGTAGTTGGCCGCACCATGGTGACCGTTGATCGTTGACTTTTTGACCTAGTAGACTTTTGGTCAAATTGCTAGTTTTATAGGCCAGACTAAGATTTGACATTAAATGTTTATTAGGTAGTGTGTAGCACCAGCTTATCGTTTGTGAAATGTTTGGTATTTCAGATTCGATGGTGAGAAGAATTTTCTGTGTAGGATGCAGGATTATCTTTGTGACTTTTGCATGAAAGAACATGATCTGACCCCTAATAATTATATAAAAGACCAGGATCTGGCCCATAGCACTTATATGAAAAACAAGGATCTGACCCCTATCACTTGTATGTAAGCCTAGGATTTGGTCGTTGGCATTGTAAGAAAATACCATGATTTGACCCATGGTAGGAAGGATTCTAAGACAATCATTTGACCCATAGCATTCACTTGTAATAAACTTATGTTTTATGTATGATATGTGGTATTCTAGAAACTCACTAAGCTTTATGCTTATGTTTTTATATTTAAATGTTTCAGATATTTTGGGTTCTAAAGAGAAGGGTCCAACTTAATCACACTAAATCCCCTGAAGTTTCCCACACTAGCTATAAATACCAATAAGTTGACCAAAAGTAATGTCATAAAGTCACTCCCAAGACAAAATAATGGCCCATGAATAAATTAAAGGCAAAATTGATACGGAAACGCCCATGAAAATTTCGTCCATAGGTGCTACTTAGCCCGTTTTGGTGTGTCTAATGCTACTTAGCCTGTTTTGGTGTGTCTAATGCTACTTAGCCCGTTTTGGTGTGTCTAATGGCTATATGGTCAAACGTGAATCGGTCTTCACAGCTTAACATGGTGAACAGTATTTTGATTAAAATAATATTATTATAACTATTTTTTTTCTTTTTATAAGTCTTATAAATATTGTATTAGAATCTATATATTAAAATATGTTTTTATATTATCTGGATGTGGTTCGAGTTTGTAAAAAGTAATAATGTAAGTTTTGCATAAAAACAGTGTAATTTTGTAATATCATAGTTGGAGTTGGTTTAAGGATCGGTCTAATTCATGAACCAGTAAACTCCATCTATCTATAATGTGTATTTAATTATTTCTTTTGAGATGTCCAATCAAGAAATCGATGAGATGACTTTCATATACCACCATCATTAGAGTACAGAATTAACAATGAAACATAAGACAGAGAAGAATGAGACACTTGAACGTGAGAATTTTAATGGAGAAAGCAACTATACTTGTTGTTTTTCTTTTTTCACTCCACATTCAAAAAATCTACACCGCTGAAATTGACTTGATTTCAGATTCAAAGTTCTTGACAGAAGCTGACACGTTGGTCTCACCGGGTGGAAATTTTGTACTAGGGTTTTTCAGGTCAGGAAGCCCTGAGAACAAATACGTTGGTATATGGTACAAGAAAATCTCTGTTCAAACGGTGATTTGGGTTGCCAACAGAGACTTCCCAATCAACGGTTCATCATCCGGCACACTGAGGATCATCTCTCCAGGAAATCTCGTCCTCATGAACGGGAACGACACCAATGATGTAATCTGGTCATCCAATACAACTTCATCAGCTAACGTAACTGTACACCTTGAAGACAATGGAAATCTAGTTGTAAGAGAAACAATAGAAGAGAAGATTCTATGGCAGAGTTTTGATTATCCAACTGATACACTTCTACCTGGCATGAAAGTCGGGAGAAATTTCTTAACGGGTAAGGAATGGACACTATCTTCATGGAAGAGCAATCAAGATCCAGCTCCAGGTGAATTCACATGGAGCGCAGACACAAGCGGCTATCCTCAGATCATACTAAAACAAGGCACAACAGTCATCTTCCGAGGTGGACCATGGAATGGTGTTTGGTTTAGTGGGGATTCTGCTTCCACCAGGAACATCATTACCGGAGATATGATTATTAATGAAACAGAGGCGTATTACAGTTATTCTCTTCTCAATACTTCTGTTATCTCGAGACTCGTCTTGAATTCATCTGGCCAGTTAGAACGTTGGGTGTGGGTTAATGATGTGAACAAATGGCAGATTTTTCTTCAGTTAGAAAGAGATTTCTGTGATGGGTACAACATCTGTTATGGTTATGGAACGTGTAGCAGTTTAACCTCACAAAGATGTTCTTGTTTAGATGAGATAAGATTCGTGCCCAGAAACCAGAAGGGATGGGAGATGGCAGATTGGTCGGGTGGTTGTGTGAGGCGAACACCATTGGATTGCAAAAATGGAACCGATGGGTTTATCAAGTACTCTAATGTGAAGTTGCCTGATACAGAGTCTTCATGGTATAACGTGAGCATGAGCCTGAACGAATGTAGAGAAAAATGCTTCAAGAATTGTACATGTATGGCCTATTCAAATATAGACATCAGACAGGGGGGAAATGGCTGCTTGCTTTGGTTCAGTGAACTTTTGGATATGAAAGAGGTACCTGATAGCAATGGTGGTCAGGATATCTTCGTAAGAATGGCTTCCTCAGAATTAGGTATATATTCAGCTCTTTACACAAACATAATTTGAATAGGTTCTTAAATAGATGTGATATCTCACCATGTAAAATTACTCAATCAGTACACGAGAAGAAGGAGAGAGCGAACATCAAGATCATCTTACCAGTAGTTTTTCTGGGGGTTCTTCTGATAGGCTTGAGCTCTACATGGTTCCATCATGCATGTAGAAAAAGGCATCATCAACAGCTTAGGAAAGGTAAGAAAAAGTTCACGATTTTAACTGTAAATTGGTTGTAACCTAATAGAAAGAAGAGTAATATGAAATCTTGAAGCAGATTCAGGGGAATTCTTCGATGTTGGTCAAAGCCAGAGAGAAGCAATGGAGCTACCATTGTTTAGCTTTTCTACATTAGCTAGAGCTACTGCTAGGTTTTCGCCAGATAATAAAATTGGAGAAGGTGGATTTGGATCAGTTTATAAGGTAATAATAGTAATCAAAGTTGTGTACTGAGAAAGAGACATGGAAGCAATTCATCTTCACTGTTTATATTGTTTTTCACATGGCCAATAATGATCTCTAGGGTGTGTTAGAAGAAGGACTAGAGATTGCAGTTAAGCGTCTATCTACGACTTCAAGCCAAGGACTTGATGAGTTTAAGAATGAAGTCATTTGCATTTCAAAACTTCAGCACCGAAATCTTGTTAGACTCCTCGGATGTAGCATATTGGGAGATGAAAAGTTGTTGATCTATGAGTACATGCCAAACAGAAGCTTAGACTTGTGTTTATTTGGTCAGAATCACATATATAACTGCCATTAATTTAACATTTAGGAACTAAGCATTCTCCGGAACTGAATATGACTACATCTTCATGTTGCCAGATAAGACACGAAGCAGACAACTTGATTGGACAACGCGTTTTAACATTATCAAAGGAATTGCTCGAGGACTTCTTTATCTGCATCAAGATTCACGCTTAAGGATCATCCATAGAGATCTTAAAGCTAGCAATGTTCTACTTGATCTGGACATGAACCCTAAGATATCAGACTTTGGGATGGCTAGAAGCTTTGGAGGAAACGAATCTCAAGCAAACACACAGAGAGTTGTTGGCACATAGTAAGCTTGATAATCCAACTGTATATATATTCTACTTCTCTTAAGTGCATTTATTTTATTGCGTGCAGTGGTTACATGTCCCCGGAGTATGCATTAGATGGTGTTTTCTCATTCAAATCCGATGTATTTAGCTTTGGTGTTTTAGTGCTAGAGATAGTGAGTGGGAAAAGAAACAGGGGATTCATTCATTCTGAACATGACAATAACCTCCTTGGACATGTAAGCTTATCTGCCACAAATTACTCCTTTGATTTATAAAAATATATCCTCAAAATTTTTTTATATTAATTTTATTCAGGCATGGAGAATGCATAACGAAGGCAGGTCAATGGAACTCATTGATACAACTTTAGGCCAATCAAGCAATTCATCAGAAGTTATACGATCAATTATAGTGGGG